AGGTGTGGGGTTGAGTAGTTGTTGGGGTGAGGGTTTAAAAATGGCGTATTTGGTATTTTGCGTGGATGTGAGATGTGGGTGAAGTCTGACAGGGAAAAAGATAATACGTAGAGATTGACAAACATGATTGTGCGCACATGAGTTGCATATCCGAGGTCTAACTGGGTGCCTGCTAAATGACCAAGCCAAGGAACTAGCCACGCATCGAAGCTAAGGTGCGCAGGTCGTGACGCTAAGGGCGACCGCGAAGGAAGGCAGCCACCGGGGGCTTCTGCTGCAGCAGGGTGAGGTGAGTGCGCGCCAGGGCCAAATTCTTCCTTGGCAGCCGGGCGGTGAGCGGAGGCCTTCACGCGGGTGACGTGCAGGTCGGAGTGGATATGCTCCATGGCGCTGTCGAGGGCAGCGCCGCAGGTGCCGCAGAGAGTGCAGGTCCAGTATTCGATCCAATCGCCCAGCCCAATGTAGAGGAGGCCGGGGTCGTTGCTGAAGGCGGTCGGCGTGGCATGATTGCCCAAAGAGTTGCCTGCAAGAGAGAGGGAGGCGGGGGTTGGGGGTGAGGCAGGGGGGGGCAGGGGGACGAGGGGGTGGATGAGGGGCGGGTATAGGGGGAGTCAGGGAGGAGGGGGACGTGGGGGTGAAGGCCGAGGGGGGGGGAGACTATGTGGCCTGGCGTGGCGGGTGCGGGGGGAGGGGGGGTGCAGGGAGGGGGGGGAGGCGCAGGGGAGGGGAGGGGGGGGGTGTTCGGGGGTCCAGCGGGGGGGGGGGGAGAAGGAACCAGAGGGGGGTGGATTGGCCTGCGCGAAAGCAATGTGGGAGAGACTGGGGGGGAGAGGGCTGTTGGCAGAGGGGGAGAGCCTCGGTGGGAGTCGCGGCGGCCCGGTCATAGCACAGGGGGCGGTTGCAGATGGGTCCCTGAATGTGTAGGGGTGTGAAGAAAGTGAGGAGGGGGGTGAAAGGAGTGAGGGAGGGGGGGGGAGGCGAGATTGAGGGTAGGGGGGGGAGAGGAGGGGAATCGGGGGAGAGGAGGTGTGGGGAAGTCGGGGGGGGTGGGGGGAGCAAAGAGGAGTGCTGGTTGAAAAAGGGGGGGATAGGGCAGGGGGGGGGGAGCGTCTCCATGCTAGCATAGGGTTGGGCAGGGGGCCCGCCCTCTGGAGGGACCATGGGAGGAGTGTCGGGAGGGGGCAGAAAGGGGGGAACCGTGAGAGGGTCCAATCTGCTGGTGGGAGGAGGGTGGGTGCGGGTGGGGGGCGAGCTTGTGGGAGGGCGGGGGGTACTGTCCTCAGAGGGGGAAGGGGCAGGAGTGTTTGTGTGGGGGGCGTTGACGTGGGAAGGGGCAGGGGGTGGGGGAACATGGGTGAAAAAGGGATTTCGCGATACGGAGATTGCGTGGGGGGGTGGGGGATGGGGGGGTTCGTGAGGATGGGCGGAAGTCCCGACTGTGGGGGGGGGGAGAGGAGGGTACAGAGGTGACAGGGACTGAGCGTCCATGGGGGGGGGCTTGCCTGCATGTGTTGGGAAGAGCAGGGAGGGGGGGGTGGCGGTGGGGGGAAGAGGGGGGTTGAGTGGAGCCCCACAACATGGAAGGCGGGGGGGTGGGGAGCTGTAAGGGAGGGTGGGTGATGGATGGGGGAAGTCAGGGTAAGAAGGGGCAGCTGGCACAGGGAGAGGGGTGAGAGGGAGGGAACGAGGGGAGTGGGTAGGGGCAGAATGAAAGTAGGGGTGGCAGGGGCCCAGACGACCTTGCGGGGGGGGGACAGCAAGGCAGTGGGGGGGCGGGGATCTTAAGGAGGGGAGGACAGCGGGGGGAGAGCGCGGGTGTTGGATGGGAGCAAGAAAGTTGCGTGATGGGGAGGTGGAAGACCGAGGGGGGAGTGGTGAGTGGATGGGGGGGGTAGGGGAGGAGCACATGAGAGGGCACGAAGCAGGCTAAGGCGGCAGTGTGCAGTGACAACAAGAGAGAGGATTTTTGCGGCTAAGACAAGAGGAGTAGATTTCGTACCATTTGCCTGCTGCAGCTGAGCAATTGAGATTGTGTTCTTGTTCGTGAGGCGTCCTCGGCGGCGGGCAGCGAAAGTCTCGTGGTCCGGTGCGCGGTTGGTTGTTGCCGCACAGCGTGCACACGTGGCAGGAGAAGTTGAGCAGCATAGCTGGTTTGTTCTCCTCCAGCAGGATTTCGGACGGGATACGCTCGAAATTCGGGTCATCGGGCGGGGGTGGCGACCGGGAGCCCTGCGAGGTGGGTGAAAAAGGTGTTCTCGTAGGGATCGGAAGCGCGGTGAAATTCAATCAGGTCCGCGAGCCAATGCGAACCGTCCTCCTCGGTGGATCCGAGGAGGAAGGCACGAAGCTCCTCCGGATCGATCTCCAGGGGGACGTTTCGGATGGAAAGGGTAGGGGCGCCGGCTGCCTTTGCCGCGGTAAAAACTTCAGAACGATCAACAAAAACCTTCAACATGACGGGGCGGGAGAGTGGAGATTTTCATCATGAGGGGGGAAAAATCTTGCGAAAAAACCGCAGCATCTTCCTGCGACGGCCAAGAGAAAAAGCAGGCGGCCGTACACGTGGCGAGCCACGCGGAGGGATTCGCCAACGGTGTGCTCGAAAGGGGGGATGATGCCCGAATCAAACATGAAGCCGCATAGCTGCGCGTTGATCCGGCGAGGATTTCCGTGCGATGCGACTCCAAAATAGCCTCCGGGAGGAGGATCGTGACTACCACGCGGCGGCGGAGGGGAGAAGGAGCGGGGTGGCTGCGGAAGTGTGCGCGCGCGGCGGAGGTTGCGGGGGGGTCCGCCGGGCACGGGTGAGGCAAAGAGCGAGGCGGGCAGCGCGGGGGGCCGGGTTAGCGCCGGAGGCGACCGTTGCGTAGGCAGCAGCGCGAAGAACCGGGCCGTTGGGGGCGGCAGCTGTTGCTGCCAGAGAGGGCGCAGGGCCTTGCTGAGTCGCCGTGGGAGCAGCAGCAGCAGCGAGGAGCACGGGAGGGAGAGGCGCGGGCTGCGCCAGCGCCGAATCGGAGGAGGTGAGGAGGTAGAGGGGGAGTTGAAGTTGAAGCTAGCAGGGCCAGCTCCGGGGTCCATGCAGGGCTTCTTCGCAGCAGGGTGGTCAGGGGAGCTCGCGAGGTCATCGATAAGTCCTTCGGGAAGGTCGTCGACCAAGAGATCGTCGCCGTTTCAGCGATAGTTTCCTCTTCAGCGGCGGACATCGTCAGATCGGGGTTGAAAACCTGCTCAGCCATAAAGAAGAGTGTGTAAAGGAGTCGTAGGGGACTGGGAGAGAAGAGAGTTGAGTGATTGACGAAGGCTGAGGTGGGTTAAATAGGGAGGGAGCGAGGGAGCGCCCGCGGGGGAGCGTCAGGACGGAGGGGAGGCAGAGAGACGCGGCGGAGGCGGACGGGCGTGACGCCGTGGAGGCGAGGCTCTGTTGGCGGCTCGTTGGAAGGGTTGGAGGGAGGGCGGACGGGAAGGGGAATGCCTGGAAGTGCATGGGCAGCGCGTAGGCAGAGGGAAGCGTGGCGACGTGGCGAGAAATTGAGGGCCAGAGTAATTGGGCGCCTAGTTGGAGGTGGGAGACCCTCGAGGGGCAGCCCGAAAGCCCTCGCGCGCGTCCAAGCGCTCGCGCGCGCGAGAAACGAAACTGGCAGCCTAGGCGGCGCGCCAAGTTTCTGAGCCATGTAGAGGGCTCTGCCGGAGGCGGCGTTTGAGTGGAAAGCGGGAAAAATGCAGCATTAATGCCAGGGGGGATGGGAGGTCCGGTAGTGGTGGCGCTTGGAAGGCACGGAAGTACAGAGGCAAGAGGAGATAGCACGTAGGCGAAAAAGGCGGGACGAAGGTAGGGAAAAAAACGACCAGAAAACGGGAGGGGAGGGGAGGTTAGCTGTATTTGGCGATTGCAGTTTGTCGAGGAAGTCCTTGGTGTTCGATGCAGAACGGGACAGCTTGGCAGGAGGAGGCCGATCTGTTGGTGAGGGTTTGGAAACAACGCAGCCGAGTTTCCTGGGAGGGGACGGGGATGAGGCGAGGGAGTGGAGTGAGATTGGGTGAGTGCGCACAGAAGAAGGGAGGGAAGTTGGGGTTAGTTGGCGCTGAGGATGGAGCAGAAATTTGCAGTGAGCGCGAAATGCCACGGGGGAGAAGGAGAAGGGGAGGGTTGCACTTACCTGGAGCGAAGGTTGACGTGGCGCGTTGAGGCTGGGAGGGAGTCCGCCAGTGATACGTTGGGGGAGGGAGTGGCCAATTGGAGTCGAAAAATAGAAGGGGGCGGGGAGTGGGGGGCTATCCTGCTGTGTAGAGCCGGGGTGTGGAGTAGCCACGTAAAAACGGGAGCTGTAGAAAAGAAAAAGAAAAACGATAGCATAAACTTACCTGGAAACGAAGCTGAGTCGTATAGGGGGAACCTGCCTAGGCGGCTTAGGGTTTGACTAGCTTCGTAGCCTAACAGGCGGGTAGTTTGGGCCGAGGAGGCCATCGCGCTGCTCGTGGTGAAGAGTGGAGAGTGAGGTAGAGCGTAATAAATCACCACTGATCAGTTCAGTGAGGGAGCTTACAGTTCAAACAAGGTAGGAAGAACATCGCGAAAAAGGGAAGCTGGGACAGAGTGAAGAACGAGTGCGCGGCGCAGAGGAAGTTCCACGGCTGAAGGAATGAAATCAATTCTCGAACTCGGCTGGCTAATAAGCGGTGCTGCAGTGTAGTTTTGGTGGAAATAAGTTTTTCAAATATGTGGCCTACAATATAATGCATTATTTCTCATCTCTCGTATCAACCACATCATTCCCCCTCCACTTGTTTCTCATCACTGGCCAGTCATCTCGTGTGGTTACACCAAATCATTCCCCCTCCAATTGTTTCTCACCACTGGCCAGTCATCTCGCATGGTTACCGTGGTTTAGGCCCAGTTTCTACAGAAGCTACACGTTTACCAGTGTAAACAGGCATATTTTAAACATGTTATAATCATGAGATAGTATAGCATATAAAGTAGAGCATATTACCCTCCGTAATCATGAGCTCTTGTCTTTTCCAGCCTTAGCCTTACTCTCCATGCCCTTGGATTTCTCAGTTTTCTCGCCTGTGCTCCTCTTGGTGGCAGCGATCACACTTGCTTTTCCTTGGCGAATGTAGGTGTAGTACACTATTTGCGCAAAGATAGTGCCATGCGATAGCACGCCCAAATGCTCCCGATGGCCACTGCAGAGCACGATGGGGAATAGAGAAAATGGGAGGAACACGGATACAAACGCGAACACATAGACGCCGGACACAGGCAGGTTTGGGTTGGAGTGGTGGGAACGAGGGGGGTGGAAGGGCGGGGAGGGGGGGGTTGGGTTTGGTGGGCAAGAAAGGAAAGTGGGACGGTGACGAGAATGAGCAGCTAAGAAACGAAGGATTGAGAAGGGAATGTGAGGGGTGCCTTACTGCTGAGAGGGGCCTTTTCTTGGATCGACGTGAACAGACGGGCTGCGGCACGCGGAAGACAAAAGAACGCCAGATGGGAGATAAAAAGACAAAACAAGAAATGAAAATATTTGTGAAGCACAGAGCAGGAAAACCTCCCAATGCAAAACACCTTGTCCTCTCCAGAGTTAAGGCTGGTCACCTCTGAATGCTTGTTTTTCTCTAGGAGAATCTTGGCAGTGAGTTGGGTTACCAACGATCATGTCTTACATTGCAAGACGGGTAGTCATCAAGAGAATAAGGTGATTTTATTCATACTGAGTGGAGGACGCCTGAGGAACCACAGGAGTCAGTTACTGGATGGAAAGTTGAGGTGATTGATTGATGCAGAATGGAGGGTGAGTGGTGCTTACCAAGTTTTGAGACGTCTCAAAAGAGGTGATTGATACAGAATCAAGGGCGAGTGAATGGAGGGTGAGTGAATGGAGGGCGAGTGAATGAAGGGTGAGTGAATGGAGGGTGAGTGAATGGAGGGTGAGTGAATGGAGGGTGAGTGAATGGAGGGTGAGTGAATGGAGGGCGAGTGAATGGAGGGTGAGTGCTGCTTACCAATGCAGCCAGCAAAAGTGAGGAACGTGGTGAACACACTCAGCTGCCCCGTGCTCTTGCTCTGCTCATAGGGGATGGCGGAACCGTGCACATGGTGGCAATGCATGGGAACATGGCATGAAACGACATGAGATATCACGACATGAGATGACATGAGATGACACGACATGATGGCATGGCTGTGATGAGATGAACATGAAGTGATGCGGGGGTGTTTCATGAGACGGCCGGTGGCGTATGGGCTGGTAGAAAAACAGTTAGGGGAAGACGCTTGCATGGCATGTCGCTTGCATGGCATGTCGCTCGCATGGCATGTCGCTTGCATGGCATGTCGCTCGCATGGCATGCAAGCAAAGTAAGACACCACGGCAAAGCAGTTTTTGAGGCGCCTAGAAAAAAGGGACACGGCAAAGCAATGACACGGCAAAGCAATGACACGGCAAAGCAATGACAAGATGGCATAACCCGATATGAAGGACATGGCATGGCATGGTATGGCATGGCATGGCATGGCATGGCATGGCATGGCATGGGGCAAGACACAGCAGGACAGAGCAGGACAGAGCAGGATAGAGCAGGACAGAGCAGGACAGAGCAGGACAGAGCAGGACAGAGCAGGACAGAGCAGGACAGAGCAGGACACAGCAGGACACCACATGAGACGGAAAAAGCATGCAAGAGCTGACGCACACATGCAGCAGAGGGAGCAACAGACAGTCATCAGAACCGCGCATAGCATGCACATATCTTGCGGCTGGTGTGGGAACAACTACACAATAGTTACTCACCACATAGTTACTCCACATCTGCGGGATGCGTCCTATGGTGAAGAGAGCCGTTTGAGCATTCTGCATGAGATAACATAACGGGGTTGAATTGGTATGGGACGGAAACCTGGTTCTGCATGCGATGAGAACGAGGTGTGATAAGTTGATTTTTAAGTCGACTCAAAAGCCGTTTGGGCGTTCTGCATGCGATAACATAACGGGGCTGAATTGGTATAGGATGGAGGCCTGGTTTGTTCCGAGTTGAATCAAAACACACAATGACGTATCGGCAGAGCCGTTTGGGTGTTTGCATGCATAGAGGGATGAGAAGGGATGGGACCATGGGGACCCAATTTAGAGTTGAGTAAGCGCGTGAGAATGTGGAGGAATGCAGTCGGCATGAGTGATGGAGTGACTTGATAGAGTGGCGATTGGAGTGGAGTGGAGTGGAGTGGAGTGGAGTGGAGTGGAGTGGAGTGGAGTGGAGTGGAGTGGAGTGGAGTGGAGTGGTCTCGTACAGGTGTGTCCTCATCGCCCCTGAGAAGATGTTCAGTCAAGTGCTCAAGTGAGTCTCAAGGCCTACTTTCGTAAATGGTCTCGAAACACAACTCATAACACGACTTACATAGATGGTCTCTTACAGGTGTGCATTCCTTCTTCCTGAAACGAATTCTCGACTGACTTACGTAGATGGTCTCGTACAGGTGTGCGTTGAGGTGGTGACTGAAATCGCCCCTGCAAACAGGTGACTGACTTACGTAGATGGTTTCGTACAGGTGTGCGCTCATTGCCCCTGAGAAGAGCACTGGTACCATGGCGGAGTAGCTGGTGGGGAGAGGAGGGCGGAGGGGGGGGAGGGTGAAAATGGGAGGGGTGGTTGGAGGGGTGAATGGTCTCAGGTGTGCGCTCATTTCCCCTGAGAACAGCACTGGCTGGTACCATGGGGGAGTAGCTGGTACCATGGGGGAGTAGCTGGTACCATGGGGGAGTAGCTGGTACCATGGGGGAGTAGCTGGTTGGTACCATGGGGGAGTAGCTGGTTGGTACCATGGGGGAGTAGCTGGTGGGGAGAAGAGGGCGGGGGGAGGGGGGGAAGGTATCAAGCCAATGGGAGGGCAAGGCGTGGGGGAAAGGCGGGTGGGTGGGGGGTTAGAGAGATGCAGGGCAAGAACGCCACTCGCATACACAGGCTCACATACACAGGCTCACATACACAGGCTCACATACACAGGCTCACATACACAGGCTCACATACACAGGCTCACATACACAGGCTCACATACACAGGCCCACATACACAGGCCCACATACACAGGCTCACATACACAGGCTCACATACACAGGCTCACATACACAGGCCCACATACACAGGCTCACATACACAGGCTCACATACACAGGCCCACATACACAGGCTCACATACACAGGCTCACATACACAGGCCCACATACACAGGCCCACATACACGGCCTCGAGTCAACTTAGAAGTCACGTTGAGCGACGAGGGGAAGAAAGGGACTCACGTGGCCACTTCGATCCACGTGGTGGCTGCCTGGTTGGGCAGATGTGAGTCTACTTTTGAGGCGCCTCAAAAGTGTTCAGGCCAAACGAGGAGTGATTGGGGGAGGGAGGGGACTCACATGCCCACTTTGATCCACGTGGTGGATGCCTGGTTGGGCAGATGCGAGTATATTAGGAACATGAGGATGAGCGCTGCACAGGTGGGAGGGAGGGGAGAGGAGAGGAGAGGATACGGAAGGGTAGGAGAGCAAGGGGACATGAGGAACATGAGGATGAGCGCTGCACAGGGGGAAAGAGTAGGGGGGGGGGGGGGGGGGGGAAGGAGGGGGGGAGCGTGGGGGGTGGGGGGTTTGGGGAGGGGTGGGGGAGAGAGGGTGTGGAGGGAAAGAGAGGGACAGGGTGGGAAACCAGAAGGAACGCAAAACTTTCAGCTTTACAAGGAGTCAAGAGCGTGGTTGGGCTTGGGCATATGAGGAACATGAGGAACATGATGAACATGAGGAACATGAGGATGAACGGTGCATAAGGGGAAAGGTTGGGGGTGTTGGAGGAGTGGGGAGAGAGGGGAGAGAGGGGAGAGAGGGGAAAGGGGGTGTGGAGGGAAAGCGAGGGACAGGGAGGGAGACCAGAAGTAACGTCACGCTTTATGCCCCGCAAAAGCGGTAAAAGCGGAAAACTCTAACCGTAAATGAGTGCAGGGACAGAACCAGAAAGCGAACAGGCGACAGGTGCGTGTGAACTAAGGGTTAACTCTAGCAAAAGTGCTTGCTTGTTACAGCACATAAATATTGCCTACTTACACTGCAGGAGGAGGAAGAAGAGCTCGCCATATGCAGTAAAGGGGACATTCTTAAAGAGGCAGTACCCCACTGAGACAGTGTAGCCAATACACTCGATCTCAAACGACGGTACACTCAGGCCCTCGATGCTGTTGCTGCGGATGATCACGAGAATCTGCACAACACGGTGGGCAAAAAAGACAAACAAAAAATAACCATTTATACAGGCAATCTTAAGTGGCGGTACATAATCCACTTCAGCCCTCAATGCTGTTACTGCGGATGATCACGGCAATCTGCACAAGGATAGGCAATAAAGGCAAACAAGAATAGAATAGAACCATTTTTACATGCCATGGTAAGGATGGTACACCTTGCACTCCACTCAAATCTCTCGACGCTGGTGGTGCTGCGGGATGTCACGAAAAATCTGCAGAGGAGGACGAGCGAACGGTAAAAGGAAGCGAAATGATTCACATTCACGCACGCAATAGCAATGCACACGAGCCCTTGATGCTGTTGCTGCGAATGGCCACCAGAGTGATAGGGAGTGGAAAGGTAGCGTAGCGACGGCTATATTGGTGTTACTTTTGAGAATTCTCAAAAGTAACACCAATTTAGAAAGCGATGACCCTAGTACCTCTCTGTGTTTGCGGTTTGTGCGTGTCTAGTCTGGCAAGCCGCTCCCAACCACCGTTGTTAAATCGCTTCGACCAACGCGCTCACACCCTCTGTGCTCTTGCTACAATTGCCATCGCCGCACACCACACCACCACCTTTGCGGCTTAATTTCGCACAACGAGCATGCTTTGGGATTTTCGCGAACGAGAGCTGTACGGGACGACGTCGCCAGACCTCAGCATCTGTCGCTAACCAATCCCAGAGTCTCATTTAACCTGCGGGGGCTCTGGTAACATGAATCGTGTTCCTAAATCAACATACGAACCTATTTGAAAATCCCTATTCATCAGTGGGAGCTTTGATGTCTCGAAAAGCATATTGCTATCGACCTTATTATCCTATACTGGGATCGCGATTCACCTGTGGGAGCTTCAGAATCGTAGATCCCGGAATGATGCCGAAACCCAGCGGGAGCAACTTGAATTCTATCCTGAGCTCTCAATTTACCTGAGGGAGCTTCAGAATCGTGGATCCAAGAATGATGCCATAACCCAGCGCCTTGGCGAGGAGATTGAGGAGGCATTCCTTCTCGGGCATCTGATACTCCGCCACGGCCACCAGCACGCACGTGAAATTCATCCCTGCTATCACTAACTCGTTCATTTTCGCCATACGTATAGCAGCGCCCGACGATTAAAGGTGGCTGATCTGGCGGCTAAGTCGCGGATCTGGCGGCTAGGTCGCGGAGCTGCTATGGCAGTTTTGTGTCGTATCTCCCGCGTCTCGAATTTCTTGTTTCCAATCAAGGGTGATATGCTTGAAACCGGGTAACCGAACCATCACTCACAAAACTGTCGGGCTCGATTTGGTGCCGCAGCGATTGGCTGCAAGCCAAACAGTCTGGTTGTGACAGGTGCCCAACTACCAACCCGTGCCTTGTGTTCGTAACTTTCGCGAGTGTGGTATGGTATGTTGGTGTTTTTCGCGTGGGTAACCACGGTTTAAGTTCGGAGGTCGCAGCCCTGTGACACTGGCTGGGTTAGCGAAAAAATAATTCGCTGCACTCGTCTCCCAGGTATTCGTCCCCCATCCTTGATTTGGTGGGGCACACTGATTGGCAAGACCACACACGCTTTTCAGGGTTCGTTTAGGGCGTATCCAGCGCGTACGTTTACGGCTCGTTTACAGTTCACGACCCATGGCGACATCGGGTTGTACAGCCGCTGTACACTCAACTTCGTATCCTCACAGTGCAAAACGGTCAACCTGGAGAACCGTTTCCCAACGTGTGGAACCGTTTTGAGCCACGACGATACAAGAACTGAACATGTGTGAGATATGTGCAACCTGACATCACCCTTATGTAATAGATGCCGCACTGCCATAGCACCAGTAACCTAAACCCTAGTCTCCGCGAGTAGCATAAATGACCTTCTAGCCTAGGAATCGACGATCACCTTTTCACGTTCGAATAATGCTCCGCAACATGCGGCGGTAATCCCTCTGTGGCGCTGAGTTTCTCGCCCGTCATGCTTATTAGCTAGCGTGGGGGTTGACGTCGCTGGATTCTGCAACCAGCAGAGTTTCGGAAAACGCGGCGAATACCTAATTCGTATTTCCGGCGTTGTTTCGCAAATCGCGTCGAATACATAATTCGTACTTCCGGCGTTGTTTTAGCTCCCGGATCGAGCATACTCCGTGTCATTACGATTTTCGATTTGAGATTCTCGTTCAGCTGACGTGGAGAGGCCTCCACCCCGCAATTGCCACGTGGTTAGCTGCCGCAGCTACCCCCGCTGTTCGTCGCGATGGTTTTTTACTTCAAGGTGCGGCCCGAAGCGGGCGACTTCACCATCTACATGGGACTCGACAAGTACGAGAACGAACAGCTCATCAAATACGGTTTCCCCGAGGACATATGGTGCGTCGAATCTGCGTATATCGAGGATTGTTGAGCGAACGTATGGTGCATTGCGAAGAGGTTTGTAACAAGGTTTTCGGGGCAAGCAGTCAAGCACACCTGTAAACGGTGAGGACTTGTGGACTTACCAATCCCCGACCCTCCAGCGAGTGATTTTTGAGAATTCTTAAAAATCACCCTCCAGCGTCCCCCATTTCCCCTTCGCCCCTCCCCTCCCCCCTTCCCCCACCCCACTTCCCTTCCTCTTCCGCCCTGTCCGGACCCCCTTTTCCCTGCTTTTTGTGTGGTGAAGGTTCCACGTGGACAAGCTGTCGTCTGCACACGTGTACCTGCGGCTGCGCAAGGGGCAGGGCATTGATGACGTCACACCCGAGATGCTGGAGGACTGTGCACAGCTGGTCAAGGCCAACTCCATCATGGGTGGGTTCAGAGCGGTTGAGAGTGGTTGGGTTGGTGACTCGGTGGTATGTGAGGGAGTGCAGGGGTGGAGCTATGGAGGGAATTCTGGAGGACCGGTGAAGGCCAACTCCATTATGAGTGGGTTCAGAGCGGTTCTGAGTGGTTGGATTGGGTCGGTGGTATGTGAAGGGGTACAGGGGTTGGCGTTATGGAGAGTGTTCTGGGGGACTGGTGAAGGTCAACTCCATCATGAGTGGGTGGGGTAGCGGTTGATAGTGGTTGGGAACGGAGGAGGGAGGGAGTTTCCAAGGGGGCAGACGGGACAGTGAGGCGTGGTGTGGTTGGGTCAACCCAATGTCACAGGAGTGAGTGGGGGTGTCAGGAGTGAGTATGGGTGTCAGGAGTGAGTGAGGGTGTCAGGAGTGAGTATGGGTGTCAGGAGTGAGTGAGGGTGACTGTCTGAGGGGCAGACAGACGGACGGACCTGTGGGGTCGGCTCCAGCTGGTGAAGGGGGGGACTCGGCTCGGGTCATGGGTGCGGAGCGGCACGGAGTGGTGGGTGTGGGTGCAACCCAGAAGGTCAATGTGGGTGGCATTTACTGGCGCCATGTGGGAAGCAAGCGATTGGTAACCACACTAACTGCTTTGCACATAGTTGGTGGTGCTAGCTACCTATGCTTTCTGTATTCTCTCTCTCTTCTAACACCCCCTGCTCCCCCCTACTCTTTTCACCGCACGTGCAGGCAACAAGCAGAACAACACTGATGTCGTCTACACGCACGGGGTGATTTTTTAGTCGGCTCAAAAAGTATCCCCTCCACCAAACCCCCAACCCCCCCCCCCCCCCCCCCCCCCCCCCCTCCCCACCGCACGTGCAGGCAACAAGCAGAACAACATTGATGTCGTCTACACGCCCTGGGCCAACCTGCGAAAGGCAGCTTCCATGGACGTGGGGCAGGTGAGACTTGGGCCAGCAGGTGAGGCAGCAGGTGGGATGTTGGGCAGGCGAGGCTTGGAGGAGGTGGGATTATTGAGTCGAGTGGCAATGAGGGGCATTGGTTGACGTCGTCTACACGCCATGGGCCAACCTCCGAAAGGCAGTTTCCATGGACGTGGGGCAGGTGAGACTTGATATTGGGCAGGTGGGATGTGGAGGAGGTGAGGTGTGCGGCAGGTGAGTTATGGGACCTGAACCCTCAACGCTCTCCAACAGACCCGAACCTAAACCAACAGACCCGACCCTAAACCAACAGACCCGACCCTAAACCAACAGACCCGACCCTAAACCAACAGACCCGACCCTAAACCAACAGACCCGACCCTAAACCAACAGACCCGACCCTAAACCAACAGACCCGAACCTAAACCAACAGACCCGACCCTAAACCAACAGACTGGTTTCCACGACAACTCCGAGGCAGTGCGAGGCATACCAGTGGACGAGCATCGGGATTGTTTAGTCGACTCAAAAGTCAGCATGGGGATTCTGCCTGCCTTGGCAGCGCCCTCAATCTTCAATCTTCTGCCTTGGGGTTGTCTCAATTTAGCAGATTGGCTTCGCTCTGACAATCCCAAGACAGTGCAGAGAATGCGAGCAGAGGAGTGAGGTAGATCGTGGTAGTGGTGTTTTGAGAAGTTAATCACACCAAGTGCTACACCCCACCCCCCATATGAACATCACTCCTTAACAGGTCGGGTTCCACAACCCCAAGACGGTGCGAAGCGTGCGAGTGGAGAAGCGACTCAAGGAGGTGGCAATAATACTGATTGTTACACTTTATCCCCCATATGAACATCACTTGTTGTTAACAGGTCGGGTTTCACAACCCTAAGGCGGTGCGGAGTGTGCGAGTGGAGAAGCGACTCAATGAGGTGGTGAACCGGCTGAACAAGACCAAGGTGGAGCGGACTCCTGATCTGCAAGGTGTGTCCACATGGGTTGATATGGGTGTATATGGGTTGAAGTGGCTATAGAGGGGTGAGTCGATTCAGTGAGGTGGTAAACCGGCTGAACAAGACCAAGGTGGAGCGGACTCCTGATCTGCAAGGTGGGTGAATAGGGGTTAGAGATGGTAGCAATGGGTTTACGTGGGTTCAGATACGCCTGACCTGCAAGGTGGTTTGATGGAAATAGGCGAATATGTGGTGAGGAATGGGTTGAAACGGGCTGAAATGGGTGTGAAATGGGTGTGAAGGGACATGGGGTTTCCATGGGGTTATGAACTGGCTGAGCAAGGTGGGTTCAAGTGGGTGTAAAAGTGGTAGGAAATGGGTTGTAATGGATTGTAATGGATTGTAATGGATTGTAATGGTTCCCAAGGGGAGGTGAACTGGCTGACCAAGGCCAAGGTGGCAAGGTGGGTTGACTTTACAGTGGGTGTACAAGTTGGTTGAAATGGGTGTCGAGGGGTTTCTCTGTGTGCAGTTTATTTTATTTTCTTTCTTTCTCTTTTTTACTTGAATTAAACGGTCAGCCATTTTCTCCCAGCTTGATGCTTTCCAATACCTCATCCAATTTTAGTGTCTTCTTTCAACCAACTAAGCAGTGCTCCACTGGTGGCCTTTTAAGGCGCCTCAAAAGTCTTCTCCACCAACGTAGCAGCGCTCCACTGGTGGCCTCTGTTGTGTGTGCGTGCAGCTGAGAAGGAAGCGAGGGAGGCAGAGGACCGAGCAGCGAGGAAAGCAGTTCTCAGAGAACAGGTGAGAGCGAGCGAATCTTTTATGGTTTCTTTTCTTTACATTCTCTGCCACCTTTTGTGTGCGTAATGCAGTCCTTAGTGTCTACTCTATAACACTGAGCCGATTTTCGATTGATAGGTGCCAGGCGTGATGGTTACAACAGAGGTTACAACAGAAGCAATCATTCATAGGTGCCAGGCATGATGGTTACAACAGAAACAATCCGTGATCCTTCTCCTCCCCTCCCTCTCTCCCCCCCTTCCCACCCCTCCCTCTCTTCCCTCCCCCCCCCCCCCCCCCCCCCCCCCCCCCGCCCCCACCCTCCCCATCTCTCCCGCCACCCTCTTCCCCCGCTTATGGATGTTTTGTTTCTTAGGCTCGGCGCGAGCAGGGGGCATTCGTAATCATTGTTAGGCATCATGATTGCTACAATATAAAAAAAATGTGTGATCCTTACCCTTCCCTTTTCTCAGGCTCGGCGTGAGCAGGAGGAGAAGGCTCTGAAGCAGAAGCAGGCGGAATTACGAAGTTACAAGGTTATAATGGTGGAGAAGAAAATGACCTCAAATAAAGATATTGCAGCAAAGATGGAAGGGAAAACTGTACAGGATATCGAGGATGATTTTATGTGACATGCATTGTGTGAGTCATGGGCAGAGATTTTTGACACCAAAGCTACCTTGCGTCGTGTCACCCTCGGCTCGTCCTGTGACCAACCTGCACCCACCCCTGTTCGTTTCCTTGTATTGTATCATCATTTTCATTGTATTTCGTTTCATTAAGTTAGAGCTTCAGTCTCAGAGTTATTTAGGTACACTGTTCGATACTAACTAATATACTAACTCATAACACCGATTGCACCTGTAACACAATTCAATTTTGAATTTCCGGCAAGCGAACCTCACTTCGCCGGAATTCAACACCTGAATTTTCCCCTGACGCATGGGGCTAGAAATTTTAATTCTCACATTGCCGGGAGGCGCACATTGAAAGCTGGAGCCGCAGCAAGCCCGACGTTCACTGTTACCGAGTCCAAGTTCAACTCGAGAGTGGCTTTTTACGAGTTCGTGTGCGTTTGAGTGAGTTCTGAAGTGGTGCAGCAGAGAAGTTGTTCGGTACAGTGACGTGTGGCTTCCGAGTCGGAGCCGCAGTCTGGAGCAACTGGCTGGAGGAACACGGCAATAATTGTGGAATTCTGGATCAGCAGCAGCACTGACGTCCCTCACACGCAGCGACCTCCTGCACTGCCTTCCCTGAGCTTGGTTGAGTGTTTTCCCATGAATCCACAGGCATGTAAATACTGTAACCTGAATTAGCGCTTTGAGCAAGCATTTCTTTCTCGACAGTAGCAGATTCGCTGGTTCCTCATCATCTAGTGCCGCCCGCTTTGAGGCTTCGTTTCTATCACTGTTTGCATCCGAAACGCAATCCCGCACTTGGTCGAGTCTAGATCGACGACCACTCCAGACATAGAACAATCCTCTCCCTCCCACCCCTGGGCTCGTACTTTTCGTCGTCATTAGCGAAAAAGCATGTCGGCATTCACGGGTAGGGTTCTACTGCTGCTTTCTCTTCTAACCGCCGTCTCCCTCACGCCAATGCCTATCGCATCCGCCGGAGCACCGAGGCGCGTCGCCCGAACGCGGCAAGCGCACGCGGAGTTCCGCCGGCAGCGCCGGCTAAGCGACATCGTCAAGCGCGGGGACCGGCCGCCGCTGCACCTGTTCGAAACGAAGGCCCACTTCGAAAAAGAGCGCTCAAGCGGAGAAAGCGGCGGCGGCGCTCCCATGAAGTACTGGGGAGGGCCCGTTATGGTCGGAAACCCGTCCGTAAACGTGTACATAATCTATTACGGCAATTGGCCGTCGGGCTCCGGACAGAATGTGATTGAGAATTTCATCCGGTCGCTGAGCAGAGACTCTCACCGGCAGGGGGATCCGTCGGAGCCGAAAGTGAAGTTCTGGTGGATGATCAACGAGCCGTACTTTCAGAAAACGGACGGCGGGAAGAGGAACGTCAGCAGAAAGGTACGTTTCGTACTGAATGATGGCGATGCATCAGAATGGACAGAGGTTATTCGCACATGAACGGAGGGCGCTGCAGCTCTCGCCCTGCGGCATTCATCTCGAAGGAGTTGGGGATTTGAAAACGAGTCACCCGACGCTTATATGGTCGCTGTTTCAGATTTGCGTACGAAATAGATCTCGGCCGCATGCTGTCTCAAGGGCCACCTACAGTGTCTCTATGCCTCATTTGCACAGTCGAATTTTCCCTCTCTATGCCTCATTCGCGCATTCCAAATTTCCATACGCACAGGTGCGACTTTCGGGGACTGTCTACGACAACTACTCTGCTGGCAAGAAATTTGGCGAAAACGCGGTCTGGAATGGTAAGTAGCCACCGACTCGGAGGTTTTTCGAGGCATCCCGTCGCCGCATCTGGGCTGTACTAAATGTCCAGTCCCAGCAGTACTAGAGTATTTCTGCAATATTATTGCCTGCTTCACAAATCTCCGTGCATCCACGTCACTCTTCCGTCCGTCGCAGTTGTTTCAAGCAAGATTGGCTCCGGGAAGGCATTCGCTTACGATCCACACGGTATCTACTTGCTTCTGACAAGCAAGGATGTTATGGTCCCCGGTTACTGTAGCGAATATTGCGGATATCACACTATGGATTATATCGGATCGAATGGAGTTGTGTACTCGTTCGTGGGGCATCACGGGCAGTGCCTGGACGGATGCGGGGGGCAGAGCACATCGCCCAACGGCAAACCTGGGATCGATGCGACGGTTTCCACCATCGCACACGAAGTCGCAGAGGCCGCGACGGATCCTGACGCGGAGTATGGATGGTTCGACGCAGCAGGCGAGGAGAATGCGGATAAGTGCTCATACGAGGTCGGGGCGACGAAGAAGGGTCGCGACAACCGTGGTAACACGTACGAGTACAATCTCGTTGGGATGAACGGCATGCGGTTTCTGATCCAGCAGAACTGGGACAGGTTGAAGAACAAATGCGTATCGCAGAGGAGGTAAACGATTCTATCCTAGCCGGACTTCATGAGATCACGTGGCTTCATGAAAAGAGGTGTGCTGAAGTGGTTGTCGCCAGAGCGCATCATCTGGGGTGCGATCTTAGCAGAGAGCAGTTCAGATCGCTGCTGGCGAAGGTTAAATAAGCGGTGCTGCTGTGTCCGCGCGCGCTGCCGTGGGGTCTTCTGGCCCCTATGGAATGGCGAAAGCTGGAACCAGGCGTTGTCGTCAGCTTGTCAGGTGCCAAACTGCAATGTAGTAGACATCACGATGGACCATGCGATCTAGACTGACTCCTCTTATTGAAAGTAGGTGCATAATCACCACTTCATGTATATCTCCCATTACCTGTCCATCAGTTTCCTTCAAGCTCATAGTCCCCCCCCCCTGACCACTAGTTGTGGCTGTGGCTGCCAGATGGGGTAGGGATAAAACAGACAGACAGAACGAGGTAGGAGGATGTGCGTGGAAGAGGAAGGTAGGTCAGGGGCCCAAGATGTGCCATCCCGTGCTGTGCGCACCAACCCACTCCCTTGGGTACCACCCCACTTTCCCCCACCTCCCTCTGCAAGAACATTTCTTCATTACACCGTAAGCATTTATTGTGATAAATACAGGACATGGCCGAACATGATCCCCGTTCAGTGAGGCACCCACGTAGAGATAAGGCTCCACATAATCAGCCTGCTCAGTATGCTCGTGTGTGCAAAAAGCCAAGCTCCAGAGACCCCCACAGTGCCGCAGGTAATGCATCAAGATTCTTCTGAGGCAACTCAGGAGCAAGAACGACTCAAGCATCCAGGGAAAGGGTTCCACAGGATGGGCTTGCTTAAAATGCTCCTGCGTGCAAAGAGCTCAGCTTCAGGGGGACCCCCTCGGTGTAGTGGGTAGTGCTTCCAAGTGGTTAGGGGGAACTTGGGGTTGGCGTTAGTCTCCCCCATGAGATGGTTCGCTGTGTTCACATAAATAATCGGCCGGTGTTTCGCCCGCTCGTCCTTCTGCGTTTTAAGGAAATCATTGGGGATGGGGAATGGATTAAAGACTCAGATGGGAGGTACAATTCTGGGATCCGAAGGGTCAAAGTGTAGAGAGGGCGGAATGGGGGTTGGAGATGGCAGAATGGGGGGCGGAGAGGACGAAATCAGGGGGGGCGGAATGGGGATTGAGGGGTGTGGAATGGGGTGAGATGGTGGTAGGTGAGGAAGGGAGAGGGACTGAGGGAGGAAGCAAGAGGTGAGAAGAACAGCAGTACAGAATAGAGGAGGAATGAAGAGAGGAAAGCAGATATACAGCAACTGTTCTGTTGCTCCATTTCACAGCAAAACAAACGATTTTAAGAATTCAACTTTTAACAAGGCATTTGTAGAGACAAGCTGGCAGACGATCAATCTCCACACTCCCCGCTTCCTGTTTAACTGATCAGGTGCCAAAACCTCCAGTGTAATGGTGTACGGCATTAAAGCGTAGTGACTTGACTGAACAGGTGAGATACTGACGACTATTTTATAAGGTATCACGGCAGTGTACTGATGGAAGAGAGTTAAGGATCGACTCTATTGCGGTATCATACCTGTAGTTCCTCATAGGGCATGTCCACAGTGTAGTGATGGAAGAGAGAGAGCCACCACGCTAGATCAGCCTTGTTGCCCTGCGACCATGTCTGCTCATCAGCGAACAAGGAATCAGATGCATAAAAGTCAGAAAAATCGCTGTCAGATGCATACCAGTCCAATGCATAGTACCCAGATGCACAGCAGTCAGATGCACAGCAGTCAGATGCACAGCAGTCAGATGCACAGCAGTCAGATGCACAGCAGTCATATAAACAGCAGTCATATAAACAGCAGTCATATAAACAGCAGTCATATAAACAGCAGGCAGATCACAGCACTTCATGCTGGTACCAAAGCAGAGTCGAACATCATCAGAGGACAGCATCACTGTTTCTGATGATCCTCAAAAGTTAATAACGGCATTACTACTGTCAAATTTCTCCCCATAATCTCCTGCAATCGTGCGCACAAGAATTTCCTCATACTCACGCTTGTTCCTCTCACTCATTGGTCTGCCGTATTTCCTTTGTGCTCCTGTCACTCACCTTCGCTCCCTTCCTCTCACCTTGCCCCCTCGTCCGCACCCGTGTGCTGCAGTGGATGGCTGGTAGTGCGCTGCGCACGCTCGTCCACATGTTCGTGGTGGCCCTAATCGCAACCCATCCGTCCCTTGAGCTGACCGCAAGCCCTTCTCGCTTCCGTCAGTTTCCCCTCTTCCTCACCCTGTCATTTTGTGCGATTCTTCCCTCCCACTTCACCTGAGTGCCGCAGTGGTCAGTGGTGCGTACGCTCCTCCATGGGTGCCTGCTGGGGTCCAATGAGAGGTTGACACCTGTTATCGTTAAATAGTCAATGTCTGCAGTTCGGCCAAACCTGCAGGCAAGGCGCATGAGACGAAGAAGGTAATGATGTCAAGAAGACAGTCTACTGTGTGGTCATTGATTGACCTGCTCCAGGGAATCGAACATAAACAGCAAGTTGGAGAAGCAGCGAGGTATGATGTCAAACAGATTGGGTGGAAGGGAAAGAGGCGTACACTATATTGTTGAAGGACATGTAGAAGAAGGTGGCCATGTGGTTGACCTGATAAGGGTTCAGCCGACGATAGCTCGCCTCGCCCTGCCAGCCACATAGAAAACGAACCAAAAGTCCAACGAGTCAGGCAAAAAGACAAGGAGGGTAAACGTGCCAGACGAACAGGTGTCGTTTGAATTTCCTCACTTGTCCTGATTAAAACTGTTGTATTCCGGAAAAATAGAGTGTCCTAAATTAGGATATACGGTACTCGCTTCTTACTTTTCCTCGCTCACCTCGTACACCACCACTAGCTCGCACAACAGGTCATCGGCGTTATCCCCGTTAAAAGCCTTTACTCTCACCACTCCCCCGTTCTCCTCTCCAACCGCTCCTATAATTTCTCCCGCCAGTTCCACTCCATTCTCTCCCCCTTGTTCCCCGGTTTTTCCCCATGCTTCCGCCGCTTCCTCCCATTCCACAAAATCTTCCCCCGCAGCCATGTAGTCTGTCCATTCCTTTCCGCGCGAGCGGGCTTCCGCCTCCTCCCCTTCCCGCACGAAGCGGAAAAACACGCGCACGAGCGCGTGACCCGCGCGAATGTCGTGCGTCGGATGCATGAAAATCGGCGCGCACTGGCGCAGCCAGTTGCGTTCCAAGCTCGCTCGCCTAGACAATTCCGCTGACTCCGTTCCATTTGGCGTACTAAGCTTCGCCGCCTTTTCAGTGTTATTATCAGCTGAACCTTGGAGTGACAACCTTTGCCTCGAGATGCCTGTCTTCGCTTCGCCATTGTCAGTGGTCGCATAACTATCTGTTCGGGCTGGGATAGCAGATGGCGTTGCCATCGCGGTAGCTGACCCATCAGGCTGGCTGACGTGTCCGTTGGTGCTCGGATAGCAGCCATTAGCGGTTAATTCAGAATATTCGGAGAAGCCGACAGAGGAGGAATCGTTTCCGTCGGTCATTGTCGATTTCAAAACAATTCGTCGGTGGATTAGCAATGACTGGCTCTCCCACTCTCTATCAACAGATGGATATCCCATAAATCAAGGAGGAAACGAGTAATGGATACCGCTGCTCTTGCAATCAATAGAAACCGTAGTAAGCGTCTAAACGACTAGTGCGTGACTCATTCCTGCGGCTGACAGTTATGCCCCATACACGTAATGGACGATAAACACTCAATAAGGAACTAAGAGACTTCGACTAGTTATCAATCAAGTATTGATTGATAATATCCTCCTGAGCTAGCCGTTGGAATATGAGCCGTCCAATTATTTACAGCGACGACAGAAGTTCTTGCTATCAACAATGGGAGTCGGTGGAGCTCCTCCCTCTAATAATATGTGACTGCTTATTATCGTCTATGTTCTACAACAGATTAATACTTATTAAGGCATTTATCGTAAGTGGTAACTACGAGCAGCTCTGTGATAGAAGAAACTCCTGCGTCCTGTCGTGAAGTGGCTGCGTCCTACCGAGCTCTAGTGCGACAATGTCTCTGCGATGGCAGAACAAGCTGCTTATCAGGCGTCGGCTTCGGCTTACCAGGCCTGAGAATAAATACTGAGAGGTCGTAATGACTTCTGAAATTCCAATGACGTGCCTACCTTGGGTTCCGGAACAGCAAACTCACCAGAGCCTGCAGCGACATTCCCGAGAATGCACACTCGTCAGCGATACACGAAGCTGGTCAGGCAACTTACTTTCCAGTGTACTCCACGAATCTTTACCATATGAAGAACGGTGGAGTGTGGTTTTGAGGAATCAATCACTCGTATTTGGCTGAAGGGCGACCGCTCCGCAGATGGGCCGAGACGTGGGTGTCAGACGAGCGCTTCGGCGAAAACCCTCCGAGCCAATGAGAAGCTTTCATCCCGAGCAACAAAGAAGTTCCCGTTGGTGGTACCCTAGCACGGTGAGGAGCTAACCCATCGGTCGATGACGGTTTGTGGAGAAACATAGTCTTAGACATTGTAATAAGATTGTCTTACACAAAATTATGGTGAGTAAATGTTGAATTTCTAATACTGCCTCCTCCACCTGCCCCTTATGTAGTTATTACTTCATTTCTAGTGTTTCTATGAACGCATAAATTCAAATGGATGCTAATTATCATGGGCTTCTTGCCAGGAGGCGTAACTGGTTTAGACTCACATAGTCTCATTTGACCCTCGTAGATCAAAAGCAACAAAATATCTTGTAAGGTAGGTCAGAAGCAACAAATATCTTGTAGGTTAAAATCAGCAAAACAGCTTATCTTGTAGGAAGCAACAAAAGTTTTGTGGCTCATACATTCTCCAATCCTCTTTAGCCTGCCGTGTGCCAAGCAGGGGCTAATATTCTTCGGAGATTGATAGGTTGTGAATCAACCACTCCGTCGGAGAGTTCTTATCATCGCCAGTAAGATTCGAACTCCGACTGTCAACTGACAATCGGACATGTTTTGTAATTTTGATTTAAAATATATATTGAGAATCTCTACTGATCTCGTTCTGTTTTGTCCATCCTTGCCTGCTATGGCGGCTCCCGAAGATCAGCGAACCGTGATTCTTGTGAGTCGGTTAGGCTAGGCGCTGGCCGTGGATGCGATGCGTGCCGTTTGCGACGCCTGTTGCTCTTCTCTTCCACCCTCCTTTGTTCTACTTTTCTCCAAGCCTTCTTGCCTCTCTTTCCCTCACCGCCTTATAATCCGTCGCAGTGGTCGCTATTGCTGCCAATTCTGCTCTACTCCTGTATTAATTTCCTTCCGAGCGCTTCGAGGACTCTTTGAAGTCCTTTAAACTTGACTGCGTCGTTCCCAGGCGCGACAATCTTTCTGGATACGCGCTGGCCTCTGTAGCATCACAGATTTCTAGTCACTCTCTGCCTCGTCCACCCACGTTTGCGCTTCGGATTTTGAGCAATTGTACTTGCTATGTGCGCGTGGATCTACAGTAAAATGCTCACCGAAACCGAATTCTGATTCGCGTGTCATCTCGTTGCGTTATTGATGTGCGCGGGCAATGGCAGGTAAATGTTTTCGTTGACCGAACAGTGAAGCTGCTCAACGCCTTCGCCGCGTCGTGCGAATCTAAGCTCCAATCGCTGCACCTGTGAGTCACCTCGCTGCACCTTGCTGCACCTGTGAGTCACGTCGCTGCACCTGTGAGTCACCCCGCTGCACCTCGCTGCACCTGTGAGTCACCTCGATCGCGCTGAGGTTTCTCTTGGTGCACCCCGGACGGCCTTCAGTATGTTTGTCACTAGGCGTCATAGCATGTTGATCAGGCGTCATAGCATGTTGATCAGGCGTCATAGCATGTTGATCAGGCGTCATAAGACGAATTGACCGGGCTCATTGGCCCTTGTGGTGCTTGCTTGCTTGTTACCGTTGAGGAACATTCGACATTTACCGTTGAGGAACATTCGACATTTACCGTTGAGGAACATTCGACATTTACCGTTGAGGAACATACGACATTTACCGTTGTGGAACATTCGACATTTACCGTTGAGGAACATTCGACATGTACCATTCGAAATGGACTGCACATGATAGCTTGCAGCACTTGGGAGCAGCACGTGCATGCTTGCTGCGGCAGGCGCATGCTTGCAGCAGCGTGTGCACTACTCGTTGCATGGATATCCAGCACAAGTGTCATCTTCTCTGCTATCCCCTTCCCCCTTTCCTCCTCACCCTCCTGCTTCCTTTCAACCTTCCGCATTTGCTCTGTCACCTGATATGGATCCTTCCCTTTGTATGTAATTCCTCGTTTATCCTCATTCCCCTCCCCCTCCCGCTCACTCTCCTTGGGTCCTATTCTTCTCTTTCCGACCCTTCTTTCTCCCCCACTCTCGTCCACTCTTATCCTCCCACTCCCCCACTTGATGGCCCCACCCACAAACATCTGTGGCGGTCGTTTCTGCCATCCTATTTCGCATCCTCTGATCACCTATTGGTCGGTATTTGGAAGCAGCCGATTGGTGGAAATTGGCACACGTGTCACACTGCTAGAGGCCCAGATCAGAAGCACTGGACTTCACACAGCCAATGGGAGATCAGCACATGCCAGGGAGGCACATCAGAGGAACAAAAAGTTACCTCCGGCAGTTGTCAGCTCTACACTAACTTCTACAGCGATCTCTGCTGCTATAAACGCAGCTGCTACTACTGAATCTCTTGCAAGTGCACCGGTTGCAGAGTCACCCGTTACAGCTGCAACTGGAGAAGTTTCGCCTGCAGCCGATTCAGCTTCAGCAGGCGAGAAGCTCACACCTCTACTTGATTCAACTGTTTCCGCTACAATAACACCGAGTTTAGTCCCACCTCACAGTGGTGAAGGGCAGAATCAGCCAGTTGGTAAGCCTGCCTGCAACGCAATATCGGTGGAATCGGGAGAAGCTGCAGCAGCTGCAGCAACTGAAGCAGAAGCAGCAGCAGTGGTGGTGGATAGACTAGCAGCAACAGCAACAGTAGGAGAAGCACCTGATCAGGAGTAACTTTAGCGGAGACTGTTGCCAGAGTAACAGGAGGAGCAACAAACTCTACAAGTCTTACGTACCGTATGTTTGACTAGAAATGCAGCAGCTCTTGTCAGCAGAAGCAGTCACAACAGCAATAACAGGAAAAGGAGCAGCTGATGATACAACACAACACAGCAGCATCTGGGAGGGGGGCTGTATATGTGTCGCATGCATTCCCTTCAGCTGGTAGATAGATAGTGCTTCCAAGGTTCACTCTGCATAAGGACCAAGACATGGCCCTGTAAATCTCTCATGTATGCTGTGCTGTAACCGTAGTATAGTTGTGTACTGTACCATTCTCTGTTGTAACAGGAGAATTGCAATGAATGGAACAACAGTGGAACTTGTGTGTCGACCGATCCCTCTTTGTTAACTGATCAAGGCTGCTCAATCTTGACTTAAAATCACGTGTGAAACACCACCAATTACTATTTGTACACCAGGAAGGGCTTGGGATGGCAGAGCGCAGCAGCGAAGGCCCTGCCTGACTCGGTTGGCTGCGAGAATGCGATCTGAGTCGGTGAGAGCGTGCATGCATATGCGAAGGAGATACTGCGGTGGAGGGGATGTGATCGCAGGAAGCGAGGGGGGAAAGGGGGTGGGGGCGGAGGCAGTGAGAGATGGGGGAGATGGTGAGGCAAGATGGTGAGGCAAGATGGTTAGAGTGGGCAGGCATAGGTAACGTGATCGACATGCAAAGGGGGTGGGGAAAGGGGGAAGGAAGGTGGCCAATCAAGCGGGTGCGAGGGGAAAGTGCGAGGAAGAAGACGGGGAGAGTGAGCATGCATGGGCGAAGGAGATGCTGCAGTGGATGGGGGTTTAACGGAACGGGGTTACGGTTGGGATGTGATGGAAAGGGGTTACGGTTGGGATGTGGCAGGATGAACAAAACGTTGTGAATGCGGAATGGCGGGAGTGTGTAAGGAAGTGAAGGGACAGAGGCAGAATGCTGCATGGAATATGAAGGTACAGAGAACTAAGAGACAGAAAGATGGGACATGCGCATGCACCCGCACACACATGCTTACCCTGCACACACACACGTGCACACACACACATGCACACAAACACACACGCGCGCACGTGCGCGCGCAAACACATACACACACTCCCCACCTCACAGCCTTCATCATCTCAGTTGCAACTCCCCTCCGCCGGTGTGCCGGGTGCACCCAAACCGCCCTCACCCCACACACCGCTGCACACAGCTCGTCCTTTCGCTCAGTCAGCGGCTCTGATGGTTGTTGAGGCGCCTCAAAAATCATCTCTTTTTCACGAGCCACATCAGTCAGTGGCTCTGCCGGTTGTTCTGCCGCGTCCCGTGAGCCACACACCCCGGTTGCACTTTGCTGGTTTGAAGCTGCACACAGCACCACGCCTCCTTGCTTCTCCTCCTGAGGTGACTTTTGAGTCGACTCAAAAGTCACCTGGTTTGAAGCTGCACACAGAACCACGCCTC